TGCCCCCCCCCCCACCCCGCATTAAAGTACCTCTCTGCCCTGAGGTTCTGAACTTCTTGCAAAACTCCCCCTCCCAACCCTTCAGATTTCAGACAGATACTTGGTGCTCACGGTGGATGGTTCAATTAGTGGGAGGGGGCACTCAGGTCCAGCGGAGGGGGCGGGGCACCAAGTCAATTAGTGGGAGGCGTCCCCTCCGTGGCGGTGGGAAGCTCCCAGACGTCGCCCGACAGGGCCACCGCAGCGGACTCCAGCCGCCATAGGCGCGTTCGGGGTCGTTGCAAGGCCTCGCGGCCCCCCGGCTTCTCTGCCCAGCAAACACGCTCGGAGATATTTCAGGAGCACGGGAAATTCCCAAGTTTTCCTCGTTTCCTCCGATTATTTTGCGCGGCATAATAGCAACCCGAATTCAATGGCGTGATGCTGAGGAATGATTTTTATCTGGGGATTAAACGTCTTTGAAAGGCCAGCCCCTCCCTGGGCCTAAAGGCTGGAGAAGGTGGCCCCGGGCTAGGCTGTCGCTACCGAAGGGATTGACGTTTCCCTCGGCGCCCGCCCCTCGGGCGGCCCGGCGGAAAGCGAGTCGGGGGCCAACTGCTTCCCGGACTCTCAATGGCCTGGAGCAGGGAAGAAGGGGGGGATGTTAACACAAGATTTCGTTTGACTCATATCCTGGTGGTCTGCAAGCCCAAAGGCTCATTTAAGGAAAAAAAAAACAAACAAACGAAAAAACATGCATACTTGGGTAAAACCCGCATGGTGAAACATTATGTACTTGAATTCATTTTTCCCCCGGGGGAAGCCGCTGGGTAGGCAAAGCGTCCTTTCCAGGACTCGGGAATTTGGTTAGGGCCTCCACGCTGACCCCAAAGTCGTTGAGATCCCCGTTGTCCTGGGAATAATGTGTTCTGCGTTTTATCTGGCCACAACTGCCCTGTGTGGCAGGGGTTCACTGGCCGAGAGGACTCCGACTGGTACCTTCGGGAGCCCTCTGCCGGGGCGCTGGCTCACCGCCCATCTTTGAGGTACATTCTGAAGCCATAAGAAAAAGCTTGGCACCGTTCATCTCCGTGGACTGAGACCCAGCTGGAGGAGAAGCCATTGCAACCCTTCTCCCACTCACCCCCATTTGTGTGTGACCAGAGGGCCAAGGCGCTGGGGGTGGCTGAGCCCCAAGAGACAACTGAGACCACCGGAAGATGCAACCCCCCTCCCCTTGGCACTTCGCATATTTGAGATATGGCCGCCTGTGCAACCTTCTGACCGCCTGACAGCCGGCTCTGCTCGCCTGCCATCCCCTGAGACTGTCCTTAGACCCCTGTAGGAACACGCCGTTCCAAGGGGAAGAGATCTGGGCCTAGCCTAGCGCTGAACACTTTGGTGGGCACACATACATGTTCACCCAACGCAGAAAACTAGATGTGATCTTGGGTTGGGTGCAGGGCCTCTCTGCCTGTTTCATCAACCTTATTAACACCTACGGTCCCAGCCTGGGCGACGGTGGGAGGAGGCCCGCCGCCGAAGGCCCTCCCAAGCAGCCATCTAGCACGAGGCATCCCACCTCTTCCCACTTAAGTTCGGGCCTTGAACACGCGCGCGTTTCACCCGGAATCTTTGTTTCCTCGTTTGCAAGAAGTAGACGGAAACGTCTACCCCGCGGGGCGTGGCAATTGGAGAAAATCTTTTCCAAGTGTCTCTCCCAGCACTTGGCACCGAGGTGCCCCACGCAAATGAATAGCCGGTATTGTTGTTGACTGCTGTTACTGCTTTGTGGGCAGATTACACTCCCGCGCCGCTTTCTTAACCCCCTGCCTTTCTCTCGGCCCCCTAGGGCGGCTGAGCCCCCCGGCCTGCACCCTGCGCAAGCACAAGACCAACCGCAAGCCGAGGACGCCCTTCACCACCGCGCAGCTCCTGGCGCTTGAGCGCAAGTTCCGCCAGAAGCAGTACCTGTCCATCGCCGAGCGCGCCGAGTTCTCCAGCTCGCTCAGCCTCACCGAGACGCAGGTGAAGATCTGGTTCCAGAACCGCCGCGCCAAGGCCAAGAGACTGCAGGAGGCCGAGCTGGAAAAGCTGAAGATGGCCGCCAAGCCCATGCTGCCACCCGCGGCCTTCGGGCTCTCCTTCCCGCTCGGCGGCCCAGCGGCGGTAGCGGCTGCGGCGGGCGCCTCGCTCTACGGTGCCTCTGGCCCCTTCCAGCGCGCCGCGCTGCCGGTAGCGCCCGTGGGACTCTACACAGCCCATGTGGGCTACAGCATGTACCACCTGACATAGAGGGTCCCAGGGTCCCCTACCTGCGGTTCCAGCCCATTCCTCCAGCCCCTGTCTTCTGCAAAGCAGCAGGAGCCCCCCACCCCCACCCCACCCAGTGAGCTCCCCTTCCACCCCCCACACTGCTCTGGTTTATCCTCGGCCGCTCCCTGCGTTCACTCACCGAAGTCTGATCCCCTCCCCTAAAGTGGCTGGAAGGGTCCCTTAACACTCTTCTAGAATCTAGACCTACCCTTTGTGTTACAGATGGATAAACTGGGGTTAGAGAAGTTAAATTTCCCAAGGGGCCTCAGCAGAGTTAGCTGTTGGACGCGCACCAGGGGCTGCGTCCTGTATCCCTGCCTCCTGCCCTGACACCCCGCGCGAAAAGCACAGGAAAAATACCCCCCCCTGAAGATTTTGGAAATGAGAACAGTTGGAAAGAAAGAGAACATGCCAGGGGAGATGGGCCTCCCCACCGCCCCGCCAGCCCCCAGGTCCTTCCTTCCGAAAAGTTCAGAGAACTTCAACAGCAGAACGTTTGTTTGCGGTGGGGGGAGGGGGGCACACAGATGCGTTGCAAAGGTAGGTTGGAGGGACCCCTCTCACCAGTATCAGAAGAAATTGTAAAATAAAATTTAAAAATCCTGTTTCTTATTTAACAGTACGTTTGTGTGTCTCTCAAGAATCCCTTTGGAAGGGATGGTGTGTAATATACTGTATATTTGAAATTTTATTATCATTTATATTATAGCTATATTTGTTAAATAAATTAATTTTAAGCTACAAGAAATGATCTCTTTATTGAGTTAGGCTTTTATCTGAATTTCACGTCTTCACACATGCAATTGCCTTTCAGTGCGATGGTACTTTAACGCCTTTCAAAGGTGACCACGATATTCCGGGACAGAGGGGGGCGTCTCTTTGAACACACAGGACAGATCTGCGCTGGCAAAGTCAAGTGGAGAATTGAAGCAATTACCTACGATAATTAGGCTCAATTTTCCAATTCGCTTTAAGCTGAAATCGACACTTGCTCAGGTGACCCAGAACCGACTCTTTCTTTTTTCTTCCTTTTTAACCTGTCTATGAAAACAAAGCGAATCACCCAAATGGTTTGATGACTGCAGACAGCTAATCCAGACAATTCCCACCCCCGCAAACCTGTTTTTCCCACAGGAGGCCAGGTGGGGGGTGGAGGCACAGCTTTCCTTCTCTAAGTCGCTGCGCTGGTGTAGACCCGGTTTGTGGATTTAATTTTGAGCTGCCAGAAGGTGAACTCGTTCACACCCCCTATTAGGACCCCTAAACACAAACCACTTTACTGAAAACCCAAGGCGACAATACGCTTCCCACCTTGTCGTGTCCTTTGCATGAGCCCTCCCCCCAAACTCTCACAGACTCCGTTTTTTTCTTTTATATAGTAGGTTAAATTCAGGCTTCCAGGAGAATAGATTTGAACGAGCGCCAAGTTTTAGCCTTCTGGGGCGAATTCTGCAAGGATGTTGATAGCAGAAAATGACCTCCTAGTAAACGGGGCCTACTATGTTCCAGGCACCGCTCTGTTCTCTTTCGAGTTGGGGGCCCCGGTTTAATTCTCACCAGATCTGCGTGCGTCCCCCCCTCCCCCGGCCTTGCCTCCACCCCGCCTTGGCCCGCGCCTCCAGACTCCACGCGGGACAGCCCCAGGCAGCCTGTGCGGCGAGCAGGCCAACGGTTGTTACAACGCAAAGTATCTGGCGTTGGACTTGGGGAGGGTGGACGTCTCCACGGATAGAGGCCGTGGCTCAGGGTGGAAACCGAGTCTTGGGCACACGGCGCTGTTTCTAGCCCCAGGCGCCGGAGCTCTGCCTAGGAATTCCAAGAGCGCACAGGGTTGCGCCCATGCACCCCCGGGGCCGGCTGTGAGCTTTCGCCCGGCAAGTTCCGGGGTACCCTGGTTCTAGGATCTTCCAGTCTCCGTAGCGCCGGCAAACGTTCGATCCCCGAGGCTGCAGTCTGAGCATGCCACAACTCCCCTCCGGAGGAGAAGAAAGCAAGCTTGCTGTGGAGTGCAGTTCCGCGGGACCAGACAGACTGGGGGAGCCCGGAAGCCGGGCTCCCAGAAGTGCGGTCAGAACCCGAATCCGGGCCTCCTTGTCCCCGAGAGAGAGCAGTTAGACCTAAAAAGCTCTCAGACTCACGTAGTCAGTCCTTGGAAGGCGCTTGAGGGCCGAGGTACATCGCTGCTTCCTTCCGGCAGACGCAGAAAGGGGTTGTTTTTGCTTCCCCTCTATAAACTAAGCAACCCGACCGCGATGGAGCGAAGGACACTGCCTTCTACACATTTTCCAGCTTCCTTCCTGGAACACCCCTCGTGATTCTCCCATCCTGGGGAATAGCATTGAACCTGAAGTCAGACAAGCCGATGTGATTCACCCCAGCCCTGCCACTTAAACTTTGCCTGACTTGGGATAAGGAAGATCTTCCGTTTCTTGCTTCCTTAGTTTTCTCATCTGCAAAATGGGCCTAGAAATCCTTCCCACTCCCAGGATTCTGGAGAAGCGACAACGAACCCCTGCGAGAGAGGGCGCCCAGGGAGTAGGGGGCGGGTCTGAATTTTCTCAATTCTCCGTGCGTCCGCAGCACCAGAGGCTTTTCCTCAAGTGCGGGTAGGGGAATGGTGGGGCAGGATCAGGTGTCTCCGCTGGCTCGGACTCCCGGGCCTCCTGGCTCCTCGAAGTTTGGCAATTTAGGGTCGAGGCAAACTTAGAGCAACATAATTGCAGTAATGAGCGACGGCTCGCGCTCTGCAGACGCGCCTCGGCTCCAAAGAGGCGGTAGCTGCAGGCGAGGCGGGCGCGCCCCCTTCCCCCACCCAGCACCTCAGAGGGTTGGAGGAGGCGGCCGCCCTGGGACCCCCGCTCGCGCCCGCCTCCGCGCGCGCCTCCGCCCGAGTCGCCGGCTTGGGTCCGGGTTTCCTTCCACTCCCGTCTCCCCTAGTTTCTTTTCGTCTAGTTCTTTCTTGCCCTCCTTTTTGTTTCCGAATTCCCTATCTCAATAGAGCATGCACACAGAAGGTGTCCAATAAATGTTTGCTGGATCGGAGCGGTGCCCTGGTGTGGGGTGAGGGCCCCGAGTCAGATTCAGCCAGGTCTGGTGGGAACTGGAGGCAGGGTTCTGGGCACCGCTGCTCGGTCAGCCCTCTGAACTAAGTTGCTTGTTTTTCAAGCGAGGGCAGAGTGGGCAGGGGGTTCCCAGGCCTGGTCCTCTACGGATCGGTTTCCTCCTTTGGCAGAAAGCACCGGATCGTTCACTCGGAGTCACCACGTATGGCGCCCAGAGGAATTCCTGACATCGCCGCCCCCCCCCCCCCCCCCCCCAGAACCTTAGGGGATTGTTTTACAAGGGAGTGGACAGCAGCCCAGAGAGGTTACGTGATTTCCCAAGGTCACACAGCCCATAAAGGGTAGAGCAGGGATTCGAACACAGGTTACACGGCGGCATCTACGCTTTCCCCCCACTGCCCAGCCCTGTCTCCTTGAGGGTCACCTAGCGCCTGAGTGGCTCTTCGAGGCTGGAAAAGGCCTGCGAAGCGCGCATGTCGCTGGCAAACCGGCCCCGGGAACCCAGCCACAGCCCCACGAATTTAACTCCTTCGTGCTCTGACCACGAGCAAGCCCCGTCCCTTGGGGAACAAAAGGGGCTTCTCACCTGCCCTGCGAGCCGTCTGTGAAGGCATTTTCGGTTTGTTGGGGAGCAGACAAAGCCTCGATCTGCAAACTCAGCTTCTGACCACGCCGGCCGGGCCGAACAGGCCCAAGGTCGGTGGCGCGGCGCCCCAGGTCGGAGAGATCGCTCCGGGGCAGGGGCCCTGGTGCGCTTTCGCTCCGCGTGGGTCCGCGGGGGGCCGGGGCGGTCGCGGTCGCGGCCCTGCGAGGCCGGGGAGGGGTGGGGAGCTCGCGCCAAGCGCGCCTTGTTTTGGGGTCCTTTTCTCCGCTCGTTGACCCCGGGATTGAAGGCCCCGGTCGCGCAGGAGGCCCAGGGGAGACAGTTACTCAGGAGGCGGGGGACCTCAAGTGCGAAGCCTACGCGGGCCGTGAGCCTGGCGGGGTCCCGTACCGAATGATGCCCCCCTTAGTGACCCGCGGCCCCGAGGTGAGCCCGGCCTACGCCCCGCCTGGAGCCCTCGGGGGCGCAATGGGAAGCAGCAAGGAGAGGCTGCGGCCGCCTTTCAACTCGGCGGCTGGCGCCGGCCTGGCCGGGCCCCCGGGGCCGCGCGGCCTCCCCGGCTCTGTCCCCGCCCTCCCAGCCGCTCGAGAGGCGGCGAGGCCGGGACACTCCCCCAGCCCGGACTCCGGCCGCTCCCGGGAAACACCTTCACTGTCCCCTGCCCACGACCACCAAGCGTCCATTCTCCGGCGCACACGGAGTCCCCACTTCAGACTCGCGGATTTCCTTTCGCTGCACTCGACAGTTTCCACTCCCGCCCTCGCACAGCACCCCTGCTCCAGGCCTAGGGGGACCCTCTCATCACACCCGCCCGCCTCTCGCACAGCGCCCTCCCGCGGCGCCGCGAGCCTACAGCCCCTGCTCTTCGCGGCACTGGAGCCGGACGCTGGGTCAGGCTCGCTCCGAGACGGAGCTATTACGCATGCGCGCCGTCGTCGTCGTCGCCGTCATCGCATACACCGCACACCAACAAACACTGCAACACACACACATCTAACACAACACATGCAACACAGGCACGAGACAGACACCCAACACATCCAACCAGCACGCGCGCGCGCGCGCGCACAGACACCCAGCCCCACGACATCTACGTACGCCGCACACCCTGTACGCACAGAACTAACACACACACACACACCAACACCCACCATCAACACACACGTCCCAGTTTATAGAGGCAAACATACAACGGCAAGGTGCCACCCTTCCAAGTCCCTACTGCAGTTCAGCCCCCAGGACCTGGCGACGCTGCGAGGCGCGCGGAACCTTGGTGCGAGACCTTCATTGAATGGAGGCAGATGAACGCCAAG